ATGCGGCTGCTTCCCACTAGCTGTCTGTTTTACATTTGGTAGTGTATATATGTCAGTGTTACCCTCTCACTTCATCCCAGCTTACCCTTCCCCCACCGTGTCCTCATAGTCCATTCCCTACGTCTGCATCTTTATTCCTGTCCTGCCCCTAGGTTCATCAGAGCCATAAGAATTCTTTACTTGAATAAAAAAGTTGAGTCTCACTGCTTCTTCCAATCTTATTGGTATTTCTTCTTCCAAAGAGGACTCCTTTTAGGGGACTCCTATAAGGTGATCTAATAGTTAATTTTCTAACTCAGATATAATCTCTATTATGTACATATCTTTCAATCACGTAGATGTCTATGGGAATTGAAAGTTAATGCTTTGTAATGAATATGGCCTCTTCTTAAAGACCAAACTTTGTTACTTAGTGTTGCTCTTCTCTGCAAAATCTAGCCTTAGACATCCCAAATGCTGGCCTTTGCGACCCTGTCCCAGTGTGGGACAGACTGCCATGTGCTCCTTCACCCATCACTCAAGGAGACTGCAAGCAGCTAGGCTGCTGCTACGATTCTGAAGAGGCCAATTCCTGTTACTACGGAAAGACAGGTGAGTCACTATATCTTTGAAATCAGCTGAAGAAAAGTGCCTGCAATTACCACTAACTAAACCCAGAGGAGGGTTTTCTCCCCCACCCCCATCCAGAAGGCAAATACTAAAGATGACCAGAGGTTGATGTATAAGCAACACCTAGAACACTTGACTGTAAGTGACAGAGCTTTCTACAGCCTTCCATTGTCTGTTCTCCTAGAATCCAATGTAAAGCAAGTAACTCTCAATGAACTCAAGAAGCTAAGTCTGTGTGCAAGATGCTAATTGACAGAAACTTAACCAATTCCCAAGAAATAGCCGCTGGTGGCTGATTGTCTAGAGAGCTTTATTTCAAAAGATGATTATTTGTCCCAAACCATGCTCCAAGTTTTTCCCATTAAAAAAAAAAGAGACCCTCATTAAACACCTAGATGCCACACTCAATTCTATGCTCTGAATTCTAGCTGATCAGTAAAACAAAGCAGGTACGGCTATCCCCATTCTGCAGATCAAGTTGATGCAAGGAGGTTAAACACTCTGCTTGAGGCCACACCGTAAGTGGTGGAGGCAAGATTCAAACCCAAGTGGCCATCCAGAGCCTTGATGAAGCTCTGGATGGCTGAACCTGCATCAAAGTCACTAGCTGGGAATGCAGCTTTTCTAGGAGGCAGGGGAGAGGAGGGCGGGGAATTTAAAAGAACTAAACTAAATTAGACTCTTGTCTGGCTGGCTCAGTAACAAGCGAGATGACCTGCCTTCAGCACAGTTGCTCTGGTGTTTCAGTGACCGCACGCTGTACCCAGGACGGCCACTTCTCCATCGCTGTGTCTCGGAATGTGACCTCACCCCCACTGCTGCTGAATTCTGTGCACTTGGCCTTCAGGAATGACAGTGAATGTAAACCTGTGATGGCAACACACACCTTTGTCCTGTTCCAGTTTCCATTTACTGCCTGTGGTACTACAAAATGGGTGAGAAGAGCTGACCTTGGGCTCTGTTCCTGACTTGAAGTTGGGTAGGAATGCCCTAGTGACGGGGGGAGAACTGGAATAGCTTAGCCGTGACTACTGCTTGGTGTGTAGGATGGTCTCTAGGACAGAGAGGGCTTCATCACTGAGAAAGCCGAAACCTCCCCAGGGCACTCGGCTAAGTCATCCCACCTGCACTCCAGCGAGGGGCTAGCACCCCTTACCACACTGTAGAAGAACCAATAACAGGTTCTTCCCACTGCACTGCCCTGGGAAACGAGCAGGGAGGTCAGCTGAGATCGGTAGTATTTCTGGCTGCCTCATCTGAGTACTCATAAGCCTCTTCCTGTCCCTTTGTCCTGAAAGTAAGGTGAAATGATAAGTTGCCAGCTAGTCAATGCCACCTGCTCTTGCCTCCACTCATGTTGTGAAAAATGCAACCTATGATAGGGCAGCCTTGCTGAGCACTGAACCAAAGCAAGTTATGAGTGAAGCAGCATCTGGCTTGCAGGAGTGACAAGACTTCTTTACCTGCCCTTGTAGATCACTGGAACCCAGGCAGTATATGAAAACGAGCTGGTTGCAACTCGGGATGTGAGAACTTGGAGCCATGGTTCTATCACCCGAGACAGTATCTTCAGGTAAGGGTCTTAGTTAACCTGACCTTGCTTGACCAGAATGCCTGACTTCCCTTCTCGCATAAAGCAGGAGTTCTGGAGTAAACATGAATCCAGAAATGACCATCTCCTCATGACAGGAGAATCTCAGCTGCCTTGCTTGTCCAATCTCACTGACCGTTAGTTGATCCAGTAGCCCTGCATTACTGCCACCAACTTGATCTAAGCCTCAAACTTACCTGACTTCTAATTCATTTCACCGGGTCTTTTGTTTCTCACTGTGGTCTCTTCCTTCTACCCCCCACTGTTTAAGCTGTAGCAAAATGAATCCCTTTAAAACCTTAGCATACTTAAAGCTTTCTCTTGGTCTTCCTAGAGCTGAAGCTTAACGTCATGAGCATAGCTTGCAGGGCCCTACTTCTCCAGCCTAACCTTTCTCAGTCCTTCCCTCACTATTCCCTAACCCCAGACTGTGCTTCTAGAGTATTCAGTGGCCCTCAGACTTCTTGCCTCCATACTTCACTCTCATCTATCTGTTACTTTTATCAAATCCCCTGCAACATCTTCCCTGACTACCCCCTCCTCAGAAGGTACGTTTTTCTCATAGTACCATATCTATTTCTTAATTGAAGTATAGTTGATTTACAATGTTTTAATTTCTGCCGTACAGCAAAGTGATTCGGTTATATATTTTTTTCATATTTTCCATTATGGTTTGCTACACGATATGGAATATAGTTCCCTGTGCTGTACAGTAGGACCTTATTTATCCAGTCTCTATGTAATAGTTAGCATCTGCTAATCCCAAACTCCCAATCCATCCCTCCCCCATGCCCTCTCCCCCTTGGCAACCACAAGTCTGTTCTCTCTGTGAGTCTGTCTCTGTTTCATAGATAAGTTCATTTGTGTCCTGTTTTAGATTCCACATGTAAGTGATATCATATGATATTTGTCTTTGTGTCTGATTTCACTTAGTATGACCATCTGTGGGTCCATCCATGTTGCTGCAACTGGCATCATTTCATTCTTTTTTATGGCTGAGTAGTGTTCCATTGTATCTACCACATCTTTATCCATTCATCTGTTGACCATATCTGTTTCTTGTATGGTTTTTATATCAAACTCTCAAACACTGATCTTGTTGACATATCAGTCTCCCCAATGATAGCTCTCACAAGGCCAGAATCACACAACACGTTTATAAACTTGTTCTAACACCTATCACTTAACGGTTCCTCAAACCTTAAAGAGGTGACATGGTCCACCCACCCAAGATAGTAGCTAAAATCTTATTTTTCTGCAGGCTTCGAATCAGCTGTAGCTACTCTGTAAGCAGCAATGCTCTTCCAGTGAATGTCCAGGTGTTTACTGTCCCGCCACCCCTTCCTGAGACCCAGCCTGGACACCTCACTCTGGAACTCCAGATTGCCAAAGGTAAGACCCTCTTTCGTGGAGAATCTGGCCTCTAGTCCAAGTCTTGTCACTTCTCTGGGCATCATAGACCCTACCTTGGTAACAAGATATGTGCCAGAGGTGTTTATGTGGGTGATGGTCTGTCTCAAGCCACCAGAGGTTCCAAGCTTTTTACTACTTCAATTTGTTTTGGCCTCTTGCAGACAAACACTATAGCTCCTACTACACTGCTAGTGACTACCCAGTGGTGAAGTTGCTTCGGGATCCCATCTACGTGGAAGTCTCCATCCAACACAGAACAGACCCCAGTCTAGAGCTGCGCCTACACCAGTGTTGGGCCACACCCAGCACAAACGCCCTGCTCCAGCCCCAGTGGCCCATGCTGGTAAATGGGTAAGTGGCTTTTTCCTGCACCTGCGTTAAACACCCTCCACGGAGCCCATCTTGACTGTCAGATATCCTTGCTTAGATGCCCCTACACTGGAGACAACTATCAGACCAAACTGATCCCTGTCCAGAGAGCCTTGGACCTGCCATTTCCTTCTCACTACCAGCGCTTCAGCATTTCCACCTTCAGTTTCGTGGACTCAGTGGCAAAGCAGGCACTCAAGGGACCGGTATGATGCCACCTTCTGTGTTCTTCAGCAGGGCTCTAAACCCCCCAGCTCAAGTGTTTTCACACTGTCTCACTCTTCAGCCGAAGTGGCCCTTAAACATTGTTTGTTGGTACTGCTTTGGAGCAATCAGGGGATGCCAATGGCATGTGTGACACGTCAACTAGAATCGAGTACTTTAGTGATTCTGTGATGTCAGCTTGGTTTTTCAGGATTTTCTGAAACTTCTTGATTTCTTCCTGGGGGAGACAAAGCAGGTTTGAAGACTTATCATGATGTGTTATACCACGATCCCAATTCTTTTGGCTCCCAGGTGTATCTGCACTGCAGTGCATCGGTCTGCCAGCCTGCTGGGACACCATCCTGTGTGACAACCTGTCCTGCCAGACGTAAGTTTCCAAGCTGTCTACACCAGAGGACAGATTTCAGTGTATTTGTATTTCATTTGTATTTCAGATCAAACCTTCTTTAGCCTGTGGCAAATGAGTCAAACCAAAGATTCATCTTATTAACGAAGCTTCCTTAAGTACTTTCACGATGCAGTAGAACAGAAATACAGCTAGTTTCCTAGAGTTCCAGGCCTTCTAAATATAAGCTATAAATCCTGAAAACTCTCAGCTTTAGCTTTTCTCCATATAAATTTTGACTTAGCCAGGAGTCAAATGGGTTCACAGCCTATAATCTAATAAAGCATTTCTGGTCTATCCAGATATAAATGTAGACCTCTATACTTGCTTGAAGGCAGGTCTGGCAACAAAGCCTGAAGGCTTACAGGTGGAATAGGATTGCAGACTTAGAGTTATGTGCTCTAATGATCAGGCCCAATGCTCATACAGTTGTATACTCCACCTGATCCCACAGATCTTACCTGGCTCCTGAATCAATTGGGATTCATGACCCCTGAAGCTTTAAGTCCCTTATGGCAAAAGAAAACACCTCATAGTATTTTTCATAACTATCATCTAATAGATGAAATATTCAACATCCAACTGCAATGATACATACACTTGTATACATATATGTCTATAAAAACTAAAACTTTGAAAGTTCAAAGATCTACAACTGGCAGTAGAAATAGGATTCAAACAGAGCTCTGCTATTAGTGTCTTACCAGGTACCTTTATATCATAGGGTCTCAGTACTAAGGTACAACTGTTTAAGCATCTCTACGTAAGAAAAATGACAGTTTGGGGATAGTCCAAAGTCATCATTTCTCTGGAAGTGTTAATACAAATGAGCAAGTCTGAGACTTTGTATTGAACACATTGAGGTTTTTCTTGAGGCCCACGGAGCAGAGCTATCCATACCAAGCGACCTGGCACTATTTTAGACTCCTTAACCACTCACACCACATGTACTAACAAATCCCTAACTCATCTCTCCAACAGGAAGAAGAAGCTCTGACATGCATTTTCAGAACAGCACTGCTAGCATTTCTAGCCAGGGTCCCATGATTTTACTCCAAGCCACTCAGGACTCTTCAGAAAAGCTCCGTAAATACTCAAGTGAGTGGAAGGAGACCCCCAGGAGGTCCCGTATCTGAACCATTGGTCAAACCAAAGCTGCTTGCTTACCCCTGCTTCCCTTACTGATTTGGTCAATGTGAACCTCAGAAGGAATTGTCTAGCTTTTTTTCCTGTAGCTCAAGACTGGCAGTCTTTATTGGGATGTAGAATCGCTTGATTTTCCTCATGCATTAATCTACCTTTCCATCCTCCAGGGTCTCCTGTAGACTCCCAAGCTCTGTGGGTGGCTGGCCTTTCTGGAACCTTAATCATTGGAGCCTTGTTAGTGTCCTACCTGGCCATCAGGAAACGGAGATGAGCTACTCAGACCAAATGTGTTAATAAAACCAGATTGCACTGCTAGCCTGTGCGCAGCTTCTCATTTGAAAGGTAAAAAGTAATTTCTTTACACTAGCTCATCTACTGTTAGCATCACCTCTTTCCAGCTTGGGGTAGTTTTTTCTTCTGCAGCCCTCCTATCTTCTGAAGAGAACATTTCAGTAGAATCTCATAGTTGGTTGAGAACTCAAGCAGAATCTACAAGAACTTAGTATCTCAGGCTTAGCAGATCTTTTACAGGTTTATGAGGGTGTGGAACAAAACTCTTCCACAAAGTTGATCAAACTTAGGTAGAACTAGTCTAGAGCTAGTCAAGAATCTTCTAGCTCAGGGGCCCCCAACCCCTGGGCCATGGACCCGTACCGGTCCTCGGCCTGTTAGGAACTGGGCCTCACAGCAGGAGATGAGCAGTGGGCAAGCGAACGAAGCTTCATCTGCCACTCCCCCGTCGCTCCCCTATCGCTCCCCACTGCTGGCGTTACCATCTGAACCACCCCTCCACCACCCCCGTCTGTGGAAAAATTGTCTTCCGTGAAACCGGTCCCTGGTGCCAAAAAAGGTTGGGGACCGCTGTTCTAGACCCTTGGTTCTCCAACTTCCGTGTGCCTCAGGATCAAAGGAGGGCTGATGGAAACAGTTGCTGCCGCCACCCCTGCCCCCACCCCAGACTTTGATTCAGTAGGTCTGGGCTGAGGCTCATGAACTTGTAGTTATCACCATTCCTCAGGTGATCCTGATCTTCCTATTCCAAGCATTACACTTGGAAAACTAATGCCTAAAAAAGTATCTGATCACGAATTGATCAACTGGGAGTAGCTTGATCAGAAGAGGCTTTGTTTTGCCCCAGAACCAGCAAGTAATTTCACAGTTTAGTAGCTCTTAAGATTAGTAGAAAAAACAGGAGAAGAATGAATTATCCTGACTTCTCAAGGTGAATGTCCTACTCAAAGAACTCTGGTAACTAACACTGTTAGCCAACCTCTGTGGATGTCGTCTGTCCCCAGTGGGGGAGCTATGAAAGTATGCCTGGTTAAATAAGATTAAGACCACTCATCTTCATGGAGCAACTTCCAGGTCACTTTGAGGTGTAAAGTTGTTTCTAGCTTGGAGTGATTAGTAAAAAAGCTCCTTCCTGTATACAGCAACCTTGTGCAGTCTCCTACTTGGAGTCAAAATGGCTGTGTGACAATAGAACATGGCGAACATGCTGGTGTTACTGGCACTAGGTTATAAGAGACAGCACGGCTTCTGCCTTGGATCATTTGCAATAAGGATGCTAAAGCAGCCCTGTGGAGAAGGACTGAGGCCCCCCAGCCAAGAGCTGTGTGAATGCGCCTCCTTGGAAGCTGATCCTCTAGCCCTAGTCCACATCTAACCAAAACCTCCTGAAAGCCTGCACCAGAGCCACCCAGCTGAGCCACTTGCAAATACCTGCTCCACCACAACTCTGAGAAATGATGAATAGAAGCTACCACAGTTTGGGGTGACTATTTTTTTTTAAGGCACAATAGATAACTAAGCCAAACAGTCCTTAAACTTCTTTGTGAAGATGCCTTATCTTGGATATCGAGGAGTAGAACTGCACAAAGTGTATGGTTTGGCCGTTGCTTATGAAGTTAAAACATTTTCCAAAGTATTTCTAATAACACTCATACTAGCTTTGTAAAGAGTTTAAGTTGCTCTAAATCCCATAAGGATAGGCGTCTGTTTTGGGGAGGTAAACAGTCGATGGTTTGTGTTATAGTCTAGTGTTGGCTCCTCCTCCTTAGCTTATGCCTAGTCCAGCCTATGGGGGCCCACAGCTGTCTCCTGTCCCCTCTGTCATCACTCTTTTTTATATAATTTTTATTGGTGTAGTTGATTTACAGTGTTGTATGGTACAGCAAAATGAATCTGTTATACATGTATCCACTTTTTTAGATTCTTTTCCCATATAAGCCGTTAGAGTACTGAGTAGAGTTCCCTGTGCTATACAGTAGGCCCTTATTAGGTACCTATTTTATATATAGTAGTGTATATGTGTGTCAATCCTGATCTTCCAATTTATCTCTTTCCCACTGTTAACCACCCCATAATCATAAGTTCCCTTTTTGTTTAAGATTTTTTTGATGGACCATTTTTAAAGTCTTTATTGAATTTGTTACAATATTGCTTCTGTTTTATATTTTGGTGTTTTGGCCGCGAGGCATGTGGGATCTTAGCTCCCCAACCAGGGATTGAACCCGCAACCCCTATATTGAAGGTGAAGTCCTAATAACCACTGGACTGCCAGGGAAGTCCCTTATTTTCTATATCTGTAAGTCTACTTCTACTTTGTAGATAAGTTCATTTGTAGCCTTTTGTAGATTCCCCGTAAGTGATATCATATATTTGTCTTTGTCTGACTTCATTTAGTATGATAATCTTTAGTTTCATCTGTGTTGCTGCAAATGGCATTATTTTGTCCTTTTTCATGGCTGAGTAATGTTCCCTTGTATATATGTAGCACATCTTTATCCATTCATCTGTTGATGGACATTTAGGTTGCTTCCAGGTCCTGGCTATTGTAAATAGTGCTACAATGAACATTGGAGTGCATGTATCTTTTAGATTTATAGTTTTCTCCAGATGTATGCCCAGGAGTGGAATTGCAGGATTATGTGGTAGCTATATTTTTAGTTTTTTAAGGAACCTCTATACTGTTCTCCATAGTGGCTCTACCAGTTTACATTCCCACCATCAGCGTAGCAGGGTTCCCTTTTCTCCACACTCTCTCCACCATTTATTGTTTGTAGATTTTTTGATGAGGGCCATTCTGACCAGTGTGAGGTGATACCTCGTTGTAGTTTTGATTTGCATTTCTCTAATAATTAGTGATGTTGAGCATCCTTTCATGTGCTTTGTAACCATCTGTATCATTGCTCTAGTTTCTGACACTGCAAGTTCCTAACTGCAAATTTTGTTAGGACTGTTTCCTCCTCAGTGTTAGCAAGCTGGGGCGTGGTTGCTGTCTGTGTCTAATCAGCCGACAAGCAAGGGAACTTTAAGCCAATGAAATATACTAGAATTCACAAAAATTGTAAGGCTGAGACAAAATTCACATCTTCAGAGTCACTGAGAATAAAGATGTGCTGGTCACCAACCATGTAGGGACCTAAGAAGTATTAAGTTTCCTTCATTTTTCCAGGGAAACAATTTTATCTTAGGGCAAATCTAAGAAAACCCAAAGCAGCTGGCAGAAGACTGCAAACAGCATCTTGACATCAGCCCCATATATTGAAACATTATTTTATTGGATCTTCATGTTCAATGAAATAACTCTCTTTCATACTAGGGATGGACAGTAGACGACTCTATTTCAACAACCAACAAGAAACTTAACTTTAGTGGTCTGGGAACAGGAGAAACAATAGGAAACCAGAAGTTGAACCTGATATCACAGTAGCCATTCAGGTGGAATCCTGTGATTTTTAATAGAGAATATCAACCTCCTGCTACCCAGAATATTCAGACCAGGATATGGCATGACTGTTGGCCAGACATTTAATCTCTACAGACTCAACCTTCTCACTCCTGAAGTAAGGACTAAATTATTTCTTTCTGTCTTTAAGAATAATCTAAGAACGAAAAATGTAATCTCCTTCAGTTATTTTCCATTTGCCCTGCTTCCTAGCTCTCCCTTGGAAATTGTACTTCCCTGATTCCTTGCTCAGAATTTTCATGCTGTGAGCTGGTGATGTGCTTTTGTGTCTTACACCACAGCATACTTCTGCCGTCTGAAAGCTAAAGCCTAGCTTTTATTTAATAAAAGTCTGAGCAAGCCTTACTGCAATAGCCATAGGCCAGAGGTAGCAGAAATTTAGGTAGTTCTGCCACTTACCAGCTTCTCACTTTTTCCAAGAAGTATTGCTTTGATATGAGACTGAGGACATTGCCACAGAGAAATAAATCACCTTCCCAACACTCCTAAGTAGCCCAGTCGGGTGATGAGTAATGGCCAAATCAAATGAAGGCTCTCATTTCAAGCAAAGTGGCTGGGAATGGAGGGAGCAGAGAAGAAAGGGCTGACTACACGAAGATTTATGGTTGTAAAATAAAGAATAGGTTTCAGTGATATTGGATAAAATTTGTTATACCAACAGAATTTTGTCTTATCTCAATATGGGAATAAAGGGTTGGATCGTAATAGCTACTTCAAGTTTACCAGGTGTTCTTATTATGTGCCTGGTCAGTTAATTGTCCCCTCATCGGCGTAGAAGCACTGCTGTCTCAAAAGGTTGAATTTGGTTTACATGTGTCAAAAATACCTATGAGGTCAGTTTTTAGATAAGGCATCTGCTTTCTTACCCCGAGAGTTAGTCTTGTTGTCTTCTGTGGGGTAAATGTTAGGGACTGGGGGCTGGGGAGCAGGTGGAGATCAGGGAGAGGGGAAAAGGGCCAGCCTCGGGAGAGAGACCCACATGTCCACCAGACAGAGTGATTCCTCACCATGGCAGAGGCATACCAGAGAGGCAGCCCTGAGGCCGAGGAGGTGCTTGTTTGGAGGTCAGGTTCCTGTTCCCAGTGGCCTTCATGGCTGCTCGTGCTACCCAGATCTCATCGAAGTCAGACTTTCATCCTAAAAATTCCCTCGTCCTTGTCCAGGACAAAGAGCCTGGCACAGACCAGGAGCTCAGGGAACATTTGCTGAGTGAATCACACCAAACTATGACATAATTTAACCAGATTTAAAGGAGCCTAGAAAATTCCCAGAGAATGGATGGCCGGATTTTAACCAGAACACACTCATCCCCTAGTATAGGAACTCCTGACCAGGCAGGGCTTTTAGGGCATGCAGACTGTCTGCCTCTGTTGGCAGCCCCTTGTGGTTCACAGGAATGACAAAAACTTCATGATAAATATGGACTGTCCCTTTGTGCAAACTTACATCTTTATCTTTTGACAATGAGGAAAGCCACAGATTTCAAATTTCCCATTAAAGCACCTACAACTTGTTTCTCCCCTGAGGAAAAGTACTTAAGCAAGGAATAAAACTGCCACAAAGAA